TATCTATCTATCTATATTTATTGATTGATTTATTTACTTGTATACGCGCACGGTATCCCTCGCTTGTACACCTTTTCTTTCTTTTTTTTTTTATCTTATTCCATATTTTTCTTTTCTTTTTTTTAATGCATATTCCCAAGTATTATGTCTTTAATTAACTCGGGCAAATTAAACACAATGTATTTCTCAGTGTTTCCGTTTCTGTCTATGAATGTGAATGAACGAATAGGGGGGTGGGGGAAGAACCTCAATTATCAATGTTGGAGCAAAACGAAAATAATAAAAAGAAATCTTAATAAGAAAAGATTCAAAATTTAGAAAAAAAAAGAAGAAAAAGATAGTATACCGTTTTGCTATGACTCTTTGGTCCGCCTTATACTCCTTTGTTTTTTATCATCATCATCATCATTAGCATTAATGGTCGTTATATTTTCCTTTTTTTTTTTTTTTTTTTTTTGATTCTCCACCGTTTCGATTTTTTTTTCTTTGTTTGTCTGGTGTTGATGGGGTGTTGTTGCTGTTATTGTTGGTGCATATAATTTCACACTATTGTTGCTTTAACTAGTATATATACATATATATATATATATATATATATATATACGGTGTGTAGGTATATGTACTGAATGTCTTTGTTATGTTTGGCTAAAGAAGAGAAGAGAAGCGAACCTTTTTTCTTCAAGTTGCGCGGAGCCACATAATAAACACAAACAGACTGAAGTGGTTTTAATATATATATAAAAAAGAAAAAGACGGGTGTTTTTTCTTTTTTTTTTTCTTTTTCTTTTTCTTATTTACTGCATAACTTTTTTTTTAAAAAAAAAAAGAAAAAAAAGGGTATGTATGTGGACATTTCTTGTTCCCGTGTAGTTTTATGCCTATGGTTTGATGAGAAGAAAAGAAAGTAAGAAAGAAAAAAAAAAAAGGATATACCACGGTTGTATGTGTGGTTCTCGGAGGTTTGAAAATTCCTCTTCTTTTTGTTATTTAGATGAGAGAAATGAACGTAACTTCCATTTGCCACGTAAGGTGGGAATGGGAATTGCGAAGGAAAAAAGAAGAAGAAAATAAAAAAAACAATGAGAGGATAGAGAAGGGAAAAAATAAAAAGAAATTTGTAGAGAAAAAAAAATAAAAAAAAAAAACGGCTTCTATGTGAGGAAAAAATTAGGCTGTAAAGTCTATTATTTCCATATGTGTACGTAAGTAAACGAATGGGGGGTTATAAATTGTGGGGAAAAAAACGTAAATAGCAAAGTAAGGTCACTTTACTCAAGACGCACATGCACACATACATGCAAAGATAAGATGTAATGAAATAAAAATGGGATAAAAAGTGAAATAAATAGGCAAAAATGAATGAAGTTTACTTATGCTTGTATTCATTTATTTTTTATTTATTTTTCTTTTTTTTTTTCTTTCTTTCTATGTTTGTCTCTGAGTGTGTGTGTGTGTGCTTGTTTGTTTATTTTCATTCTCTCATCCTTCTTTTTTTTTCCTTTTTGACGGTACGATATGGGGGCACCAAACTCCTGCATGTACGCATAGATTCTTTCTATCTTTTGTTTGTGTTTTCCTTTTACTCAACCTTTATTTTAAAATACACTCGTTTTCAACAGATGTATGGAGTTTAAGGATCCCAAAGAAAAAGATCAGAAGAATAAAAAAGAGAGTGTGAAATACCGAAAAAGAGGATTCAAGGGAACGAAAAAAAAAAAGAAAAACACGAAAAAAAAAAATACCATTTGGTATTCTTTTTTTTTTTTTTTTTCTGTGGGATGACTTTTACGTTTTTCCTCTGAACATGTGTGTGAAAGGATGATAAATGTTTTTTTTTTCTTTTTTAGGGATATGGGATGGTAAAAGAGGAATTCCTCATTTTTTTTTCTTCGTTATTGTTTCCCTCATACTGCAAAGGAATTTTTTTTTCATTATCTTCTTCTTTCAGAGGGTTGACGCTTCATTATCAAGAAGATGATGATAATGATCACTTTTCCGTTATTTCTTTCTTTGTGTACAATCTTTTTATTTCTCTTCTTTCCATTACTATTCTTTCTTTAAAGGGTTTACAGAAGGAGCAGAAGAGGAAAAAGTATCTAAGGCATTTGCATGGAAGGTGAATCATTATAAGGCACACCAAGTGTATAGTTGTGTTGAGGCACAGACACCCAAAACACACAGAGAGAGGGACTATAAAGAAAGAGAAAGGGAAAGAATTTCAAGAAAAAAAAAACAGTGAATAAGAATAATTAGAACAAAAACATATTCTCTATGGGCGACGTTACAAATAATGCGACACTACGGGATAATGATAATAGTGGTAATGACGAAAGACATCTAAAGAAAGAGAGTATCACTGAACCCTTACCCATTTTACATTCATCCACCACTCCAGCGGTGGAATCTAAGTTTTGCCTAGGGTTTGACAACACCAAAGCTGGGTTGGAAACAGTGGATAAGGCTAAAACCCAAGCTATTATTGAAGAAATATCTAAAGGCTCAAGCTTCTACACTAATGAACAGCGTAAATCTGAGATGCGAAAAAAACATATTTTACAGTTACAGCGAAAATCATCGGAGTTTAAACAATGTATATGTGGAGAAAAGAACCTTTCTAGGTGGAGACACTGGGAAACCAAAGTCCATCAGGTGGAAGAGGAGCTAGAAGCTGGTCGTCACTTTGGAAATTATGTGCATGTGGACATGGACATGTTCTACGCTGCTGTGGAGATGAAGAAGAACCCCTCGCTGGCGTCTGTGCCGCTCGGCGTTGGCAGCGCGGCGATGTTGTCGACGACGAACTACGCGGCGCGGCGCCACGGTGTGCGCTCCGGCATGCCGGGCTTCGTTGGCCGGCGGCTCTGCCCGGCGCTCGTCGTTGTGCCGCCCGACTTCCCCGCCTACCGCGCGGAGGCCGCCGCCGTCCGCCGCCTCGCCGCCGCCTACGACCCGCACTTCACGAGCGTCGGCCTCGACGAGCTCACGATGGAGGTCAGCGCACACCTGCAGGGGGCGGGCAGCCGCAGTCCACTCACAGCCGCAGACATCGCAGCAGAGTTCCGCGCCCGCGTGTTTGCAGAGACACAGCTGACAGCAAGCGCAGGCATCGCCCCCACCGCAACCCTCGCAAAGATCGCAAGTAACTATAATAAACCTAATGGACAACATGACCTCCAACTACGCACACGTGAGGAGGTAATTGCTTTTATGAAGGATTTGCCAGTACGAAAGGTACCTGGTATTGGTCGTTCCACAGAGTGTATTCTTCAAGGATTGGGAATTAATACTCTTGGCGATGTTTATGAGCGGCGTGTTGAATTATGCTACATTTTAACAGAGAAATTGTTTCGTTTTCTTCTTGCCGCTTCTCTTGGTGTCTCTGGCTGGATGGATAGTGGGAACAGTGAGAGTGATGATCGAACCACAGAGGCAGAACGAAAGTCAGTTGGACAAGAGCGTACTTTTACAAACCTACAGAGTGGGTCAGAGTTGCAGCAGATAGCACATTCTAATCTTCAGGATTCCCATAAAACACTTCTGGAAGAAGAAATTGTATGTCGACAGGTTGTTTTGAAAATTAAACGAACAAGCTTTCAAGTTCAACAATTTTCTAAAAATCTACCACAATATACAGATGATATTCATATCCTTTATCGAGCTGTTGATGAGTTGCTTCTGCCTATTATGAATCAATATGGTATGATTCGTCTCTTGGGTGTACGGTTGACTGATATTATTACGAAAAAAGAATATGAGGCACAGCAAAAACAACACCGTGGTAGTATTCAACTTTCTTTAACAGATTACTGTAAACGTGACGAATCGGGGAAACTTTTATTGTTAACAAGATCAAAGCATGCAAGGGATGAGGAAAGTGAAGAAGCACCAAGTTATATTAGTGGTGGTAGTATTAGCAGCAATAATTCCACGGATGTGGAGATTTGTGATTTCTCTGATAAAAAGAATGATAATTGTGTTCTCGTCAACGACAATAATGATAATGATGATGATGATGATGATGTTGTTTGTTTGACTCCACTGGCATCAGTTGAATTATGTGAAGAGAGTGATGATGAAGATGATGTTATACTGATAACATGAATTAGTTGCTGTATGTTTACCACCCATTTCCTTTCTTCATTTTTTCTTGTATGTACAAATATACTTGTAGTATAATACTTCTTTTATATTGGTTTCTGAATATTCCGACGAGTTAAGTTCCTTTTTTTTTCCTCTTGAAAATATATATTTATGACTCAAAGGGAACATGTATAACGCTCGAAACGCAAAATGTAGATTTACTTCCAAACAGTATATCTAATAACTTTTATATATGTATATGTATATATCTTTTTTTCTTCTCCTCTCTCCTTTATAACAACGAAAAAAAAAAAAAAGCAGTCTCTGTGTGTGTTTCCACCCTCCTCACCTACTAGTCACCAGGATGGACTGGATGTGTTTGCACGACCGCCCCGTTGTGGTGCGGGACGGGTCCACGCGTCCCACGTGTGCCTCCACCATTCTCGCACTGCAGGCCCAACAGGAGTCGTTGCGGGCCGAACTCGCCGCCAGCCGCAAACTTCTCGCGGGGGCGGGCCACGTCCTCGCCGGCTTCCCGCAACTCGCGGCGGCCCACCACCGCGGCCTCCAGCGCCTCCTGCTGCTCCTCCACGGCGTGGCCCTCGAGACCGCCGCGGCGCTCCTCCGCGCGTGGGGCTGCGACCGCGAGGCACTCCTCGACGCACACGAACAGGCGGTGCTCGCCGCCGCCGCGGAGATGTACGACGCCTGGCAACACGCACAGTGGGCAGAGGAGGAGGCGGAGGCACAAATACGAGAGGCAGAAAGAGGCATCGAAGTACCAAGAAGAGTGATGGAGGAGAAGGATCAGGTTGGTCTTCTGAAGAAGGCAGCGGCAGTGCTTGAACGGCGGTGGCAGATGGGCAAAGACGCCAGTACCAACACTGTGAATGTAAAGAACACGATCAGTACCGGCACGCAGGCGGACGTTGTGAAGATGGCAGTCGTGGCGTGTCAGACGGTGGATACCCGTTCCCGTACGGCAGCCGTACAAACAACGGAGGAACTTGTCTCGCTTCAACACCACCAACCAACACGTAAAAACCCTTCTGTTACCTCTGACGAAAGAAAAGAATGGGGAGAAAAACAAGAGGAAATGGAAGAAATTGAACCAGAGCCTTTAACTTCGGTCCCTCTAGCGTTTCCAGCAGAGTTGTCGAATGAAACTATTCTACCAAATAAGGACTCAAAACCACAACAACCAAAACAAGAAATACAGATACAGAACTGTTATGATGTAGTGAGGCTTAAAGAATTAGAATTGGAGGTGCAACGCCTTCGTCTTGAGTGTAAAAATGAGCGAGAAATGGCATTAGCAACACGTTTAAAGTATTCTGTTCTAGAAAATAAACTTCAAGAGCAATCAAAAGAGATTGTTTTTCTTCGTAGTGCTCTGAACCGTATTGAATCGAGCGTTTTCTCTTCATCTACTGAAGTTTTACCTCTCAATGATACCACACCGCTTGAGGAGCTGGCTCTGGCAGGCGATAGCGCCTTTGATTATAGATCACATGCACTCTTGCCGTCACTGTCCTACACAAATGAGGCAGGTGAAATATCTGCGTACTATGCACAGCTACATGAGGAACTTTTAGCAGCAATTGATTTCGAGGTGCAGCGTGTTGTACAACAATCAAGTGGAGTGCTTGATCTCTCTAGAGGGTCTTGAAGTATCTCATTTGATAGACTTTTATTTTTTTCTTTTATATCGATTTTTGCGTAAAAAAAAAAAAAGTATATGCTGTCAGTAGGCATAATCAAGAGTAGTAGTGATTATGAGTAATATTTGAATGTGTTTATTACGATGAAAATCAAATATACATGGACAGTTACACCAAACCTATCTCTATCTCTGGATATCCCTCATATTGGATCGTACTTGGTTCTTTGAGCAAAACCCGATACTATGCGTTTCTATGTTTTTTTTTTTTTTT